AAACAGTTGATAACGACATGGTGGCCGCTGAATACGGATTTATTTTAATTAGTCTCCAGCAGTTCATTCAAAAACTTATTTCGTGCCTCAGCACTCGCTGTGGGATCCCCCATCGACATTTTAACGTAACCCGCCTTGCTCCTGCTGCCGGATGTGGTGGGAAACCGGCTGGCGTTGCGACCGCCTCTCCCGAGTGCCTCGTCGCCGTTCACGCCCCTGTTGGTCCCGTTTTTCTCACCGCCCCTACCGCCGCATGGGCCTCCCGTGTTGGATCCAAGTGCCGCCTTCCGTGGCCCGCCGTTGCCCTTCACACCGTTGTTGCGCGGACGGCTGAAGCGCAGCCCCGTCGCTGCCGCACTGCCGCGTATTCTTCTCCAGGCGTCCAGCAGTCCCGGGTTGGCTTCGCTCTCGTTGCTCCACACACCTGCACGGACATACGACGCGGGAACGTGAGCGGCGTCGGCGGCAATTTTATCCCAGTCGACGGAGACGACGGAGAGACATCGCAGGGCATCGCCGGGGTGGATCCGCGGGAAACTCGAACGCCACCGGTTGATGGGGATTGGTGTCTGCGAGAGCGCCACCACACGCCCCACGTCCGGGTGCGAGACAAGCAGTGAGACAAGTTCGCGTCCAATACTTCCATTCGCACCCGCTATGAGCACAGAAAGCTGTTTTCCTTTGGAAACCATTCACCGCCCCCTCTGCGGCCCACCCCATGAATAAATAAATAAATACGCAAATAATGAAGGAAAAACAAGAGCGAAAGGCACACGTGTACGACGGCAGCATCTCTCCCTCCCCCTTTTTCCCACACACACACTAAATATATATATATATATATGTATATATACACTCTGAAATGAAAACCCACAAATCCACCAACACCAGTGCAGAGAAAACACACAGATAAACACCCCTGACCCTCTTACTGGCGTCGGGCGTTTTATTCCTTTTTATTTCTCCTTCAGGAAATATATATATATATATATTGTATTTCTTAAAAGTCCCTTACATTGCCCCAACCCCCTTCACTTCCACGCTGTATCTCTTACTCCCTCAGGCACAGCTCCGATCTCTTAGAGCAACAGTGAAAGTGGGTTCTCGATAGCATCCTTAAAATGCTTGCACCACTCCGCGCCAACTGCGCCATCGACAACGCGGTGGTCGAAGGACGCCGTGAACTTGATGGCCATTTCCACCTCCGTGCCTACCTGGTACTTGCCCGTCTCCTCGTTAAATGATATCTTTGGCCGCGGCTTTGCAGAGCCAACGGCAAGAATGAGTGACTGCGGGGGGTTAATGATGGCCGTGAATCCGGGGATGCCGGAGGCACCCAAGTTGGAGATGGACACCGTACCGCCAATGAATTCATGTGGCTGCAACTTACCGTCACGCGCCTTCTTTGCAAGTTCTTTCATTTCTGTCGAGATATCCGCCAGTCCCCTTGCTTGAGCATTCTTGACGATGGGAGTAATAAGACCTGTTGGAGTTGCAACCGCCACGCTTACATCAACCGTGTTGTACTGGCGTATCACATCCCCCTGCCAAGAGGAATTGGCCTCTGGTACCAACATGTTCGCCCTTGCCACCGCCTTAATGGTGTAGTCATTCACGGTGATCTTGTACTTGCCATCACCCTTGGCGTTCAACTGCTTAATGAGCGCTAGCATGTTGTCAGCACAACACTCCTCAAATAGGTAGTAGTGCGGGATATCCACATTCTTGGACTGCGTTAGACGCCTTGCGATTGTCGCACGCATGTTGGAAACAGGAATATCCGTGTAGTTATCGTTCACCGCTGGTGTGGGCTTCGAGGCTGCCGCTACTGTTGCTACGTCCGGTGCCGGCATTTGCTTGGGAATGGATTGGACTTTGGTTTCGGCCGCTTCTGCCGCGGCCGATGGCCTCGCGCTGCCGCTAGCTGCCGCTGCCTCCACGTCTTTCTTAACGATACGACCAACGCCACCGCCGGTGCCAATGATGCCCTCCAGCGACACGTTGAGCTCCTGCGCCGTCTTGCGGGCAAGCGGGGATGCCTTTACGCGGGCACCGCTCGTGGAAGGTGATGTGGTGACTGGCGCAGCGGGACCAGTCGAAGGGGACACGGCAGCTGCAGATGGTTCCTCTGCCCGTGATGGGGCAGCACCCTCTGCATGCCAGTTCTTCACCTCGTCCGAGTTGATGCCGTCTGCCTCGTCAACGATAAGACACACCGTGTCACCAACGGAGGCCTCCTCGCCATTCTGGACAAGAATACGGGCAACAAATCCCTCCTCTGACACGTTGTCGTATGACACGACAGCCTTGTCCGTCTCAACCTTGCACCATGTATCACCAGAGGCAACGGCATCGCCGACCTTTGTGACCCACTCCGAGATCTTTCCCTTCTCCATTGTAGGGGAGAGTGCCGGCATCGGGATAGGCGTAATAGTCAGGAGCCGAAGAGAAGCCACGGCGCTGCTGAGCTGCTGAACCACACGTCGGCGAAACATCTTTTATTTAAGTAGAGTACACCTTTGTGCTTAATTATCCTGGTTATTTATTTACTTTTGTTGTTTTTTTTTTCTTCCCTCAGTCTTTTCTTCTTTTAGTGTCGTTGTGATCCATAAAAAGAGGAAGAAAAAAAAAGAGTCGCGGCGGCGGTAGCCATGCAGGCAAGTTAATAATAATAATAATGCGCATGCGGCCCACATATTTTCTTCATGGGCAGAGTGGAGAGCTCAGCCCCTCCGTCATCGCGGCACCACCCACAATGCATGAAGAGACAGCCATTGAGCGCGTCATTGTGAGAGGCAAGAAACACGCATTTCGGCCACAACGGTGCCTCCCACACTCACACACACGCGAAGAGAGAATCGAAAGAAAGCGGTGTTCCTTTTTATTTTCCACTCGAGAGATTTTACCGCCCCACTCGCCAGCAACTCAAAAAAAAAAAAAAAAAAAAAGGAGCGTAGAGAACGACGTCTCGCCATGTCCGCGGATCCCGTTGTTTTTCTGTTCGCGGTCCGCGGGCGGTCCCCCTCAGACATTTCCCTCCCCACCCACATGCCGTGTCCTTTTCGCTAATTCGTCCCTTCCACCGTTTTGAGCCCGTTGAAGAGCAGCGACTATAAAAACAACAATAATAATAAAAGAGGAAGAAAAGGAAGAGAAAAGCTAAAATAAACCAATAATAATATTAATAATAACAGTTTATTATCATTAATATTATTGTTTTCAGTCACAGTTGGCATCGCCCCTCCTGCGCAGCGCTCTCCCATCACTTCTCTTCCTCTTGTAAAGGCCAAATGGCAATGAAACCTCCCCGTGTTATTTCAGAGAAATTATAATGAATACATCTGTGCATGCATGCATGTATATATATAATGTTTTAATCCTTCTATGCAGTCATCGTTGTTATGAAATGCGCGTGTTCTTTGCTGCCTCTTGCAAAACAAATTCCTTGAATCGTCGACGTTTTGTATCAAACCGGTTTGTCATGACCAATTCTGTATGGAGTGCATCGATCTGGTCCCGTGAAAAACGTGAATAGAGGGCCGCGGTGTACGTTGGATATCGATCCACGTACGTGTCCGAGAGAAAAAACACCAGCCGCTCCCGATCATTAAAAGACAACACGGCATCATCGGCTCGCACAGAAAATTCAAGCATGCGTCCAAAGGCCAGCACCGCAAACTCTTCCACCTGCGCCTCCATGGCGCTGTTCCCGCTGCAGCCGCTCCTGCTGGCATCAATGGTTGCGTTGATAAAACGGGGGACGTCATAAACATTAGACCCGCTTTCCAGAATGGTCAGCGCCACCTCAATAACGAGATTTGTGAGCGGCACGTTTCCCGATAACAAATTTTTCTCAAGAATATTTTGCCGCATAAATGTGAAAATGTCCTTTGAAAAGTAAAACAGCTGCTTCGTATCAATGATTTCATCTTCCGGGCGTGCTGAGATGCGTCGTGCAACGCGGGCAAAGAAGACACCGCAGATTGGAAGGATGCTCGCAATAAGATCGGTATGGGAAGTGCCAATGGGAAACACGCAATGCACTATCAATGATCGCATGGTGTGCGTCGGCAACAGCTCTGCTGAGGATGTCAGCATCTGTAACATCCCTCGGAGAGCCTCTGATGGCAAAAATGTGCTCAGGGCTCCAACAACTTGATATAATGACATGCGAAGATCCATAAGAGCCGTTCGAGCCTTTTCTTTGTTGCTTTGGCGCGGCACACTTTTCCGTGACCGGCCAGGCAAGTACTGCTCACGGACACCACCATCCATGTCAAGTATGCAAGCATACTCTGGCGGTAGCTGATCTGCACGAAGGCCATGAACAAATTCCATAAGCCGTACAATATATGGTGTCCACTCTGTGAAAGATTCAACTAAGTAGGGAGACGTCTTACAACGACGCATGACCCCTGCAACAATGGCCACGCTGTCACGAAGCATATTCCGTTCATTTTGAAGGTCACTGCCTTGCGCCACGATAATGCTGTTAAACTTCATCTGATCCAGGGACTGGACACGCTGTATCAACATCTTCACAATAGGGGTGAAGAAAGATTGGAGTCGGTGTAGCCCTTCATCTGCGGGAAGGACACTGGTGAGCGCCGCCATGGCTTCATAGAGGAAATTCCTCTCGTGAGGCGTTGTGGAAGGCATCATCAGAAGTTGCTCTATTCGTTTTATAAAGGGTTCGCAAAGGTCCACAAATCGTGCGGCATGCTGACTACTTGCGGTAACCAGAAGCGTGACGGCACGCTTGCGAGCCGACAGCTCGTCAACGTCGTACTGATCTTTCTGCCTTTTGCATAGGCAAGAAAAAATAATATTGAGTGTTCCATCCCACACACCCAGTGCTGCGTCATCTTTACAGCTCCAGAAGGATGAGAGCATGTTGAGATAGACGGGATAGAGAACCATGTCCTCTGTTTGTTTCGCTATCAACGCCGCAATCGTCTGCGAGACGTAGTCCGAGGAGTACTTAAACGATTCTGAAAGATGAGTAAGTAGAAATTGCGTTGCCTCCCATTCACGAAACGTGAGACTCTGCTGCGTCACAAAGCCGGATTGCGTTCGGGGATCCGCCAAAGTTCCACGGCCATCGCAAAGAGTTGTGAGAATCTGTAAAATAAACTGATTGCTAACGACGGGGTAAATGCGAGCCAGAGATGTAAGCAGATGGCCTGCAAGACTGCGGAACTCCGCAAAGCCACGCTCAAACGGCTCGATAGAGCCGTATTGCTGCTCGGACAGCCGCTTTCCCTCGTCATCGGTGCCAAATTCTGGGTGAAACTTATTCTTTGGTATCAGCGAGGCAAAACGCATCATTAATTCCAAGGGGCTTACGTGAGCAAATGCGGCATCACCCAGTCGCTTCAAAAGATGACACGCAGACGTAGCCAGGTAAATACTTGGGACTCGCAACACCACTAGACACGATTGACTGACAGGAGCGACTACAGCCTGAACGATTGAGTCAGGCAAATCAAGTAGAAGTTCCATGATTTCTTCTAGAATGCCGTAATTCACCTCCATCACATACGCCTCTACGCAGTCAAGCACGGCAGTAACAAGCGCCAAAAGCTGTTGGTTCATTGTTGTCGCCGTTGCTGTTGAAACCCCGTCGCATCTTAAAAGAGCGGCAGTTGCGGCAAGCGCTTCCGGTGCAACGGGTAGCCAGCGCACCAACACCGACAGTGCATTGCCCAACCCCAATTCCCACCACTGGGAAATGGCGAGAGATGAGGCAACATGCACAGTAATTGTCAAACAGTCTACAATGAGCTCAAGAGCACTTTCAGCAAGCTGATGGCTCCCCTCACCGCCAGCCGCTGTATAGAGGTCAAAGAGCGCCTGAATGACCTCCGCCAGAATCACCCGGGAGCAAGACGACAGGGTACTTTTCAGTTTTTTCATTCGAGAAACAGGTACATTGCCGAAGTGTGGGTCCATAAACCTCACAACGAGGGCGCGAAGAAGACGCAACTTACGCGGCTGTTTGGATAGTTGAGCTTGCGTTGGGCAGAGCTCTTCCATGAGATGTGTATATCTTTCTGGCCACTCGTAAATCATGCACTCTGTAATGAGATCGACAAGGTCACCGCACAGAAGCCGACCCAAGCTTGGTTCATTGAGGTACCACATCATTATATCACCACAGGGAACTTTTTCGGCGGCAAGACAACCCGAGGCCACGGCATGCCTCAGGAGTACTGCCCCGTAGGCTTGCACAGCGGCGCCATGGTCGGAAACACGAAGCAAGCCCATACCAATTTGAAGCATTTCATCAGAATTCATTTGGTCTTCCGCTTTCAGAACTTCCATGGTGGCAACACGACGCGTCTCGTTATCTTGGGTCATGTACATCGCAGAGAGGATGCGAATGAAATTCTCAATTTTAAGCATTGGTGTTAAATTGTGGGAAATCAGTGGCAACGGCACACTAATTAAAAGCAAAAAAAAAAAGAAAAAGACAAAACAAAAAATAAAATAAAACAAGAAATAATTCAATATTATTATTAATAGGAATAACACCTTCCTGCGGCTGTGCTTGCTTCCAACAACAACAAAAAAAAAAAAAAAAAACAAGGATGATGAACATTGGGGTTCAGTTGCGTGGTGATGTTTCCTCTCGGGGACCCAGCGAAGGGAAACCACCTCCCTTTCCAACTACAAGGCAATCCCCACAATCCTCAGAAGGAGTCATCCAGCCGAGACGCCGGCAACAGCCCCAATCAACAGGCTCCACCACTGTCGTCTGGCTGTCATATACCCAACGGCTCAGATCGCTCAATTTGAAGACACAGCAATAAAATGTCGCCCCGCGCACATCCCAATCGGTCATGTTAGCACGACAGAAAACACACTGAGAGAAGCGCCCTCGTCGCGCGTCCACACCTGCCGCATCAGATGCCAGAAAGGTACACGAATGAAACTGCGCACCCGCCAACTTACATCCCTGCATCCGGGTCAAGTTGAAGGTGCTGTGGTCTGCGAAGGCACCAGTAAAGTTGGCCCCGGAAAGATCGCTGCGGTTAAAGGAACCTGACAGACGTGTGCAGGCGAGATCAATACCCACAAGACGGCGGCCTTCCATGAGGGTACCGACTTCGGGCCATTCAGCTGTTTTTTTGCCCCCACAATCTTGAGGGGAACGTTCAACGGCTCGCAGCACTGCGTCACGCACAAACGGCATCATCTCCTTTTCCGTGTCCAGTTGTCCGCTGAGTAGTCTCGACGACGATGTTTTGTTACCGGTGAAACTGGTCGTTGCAAACGCCTCAAACGGCAGGGATAGTAATGCACTTTTACGTTGAACATTCAGCGCATCCAAAACATGCGTCATCACCGTGTGGTTGAGGCGTCGATCCATGGGCCGCGCTAACACACACACACACACACATGCACACAAGAAAAAGAAAAAGAAAAAAGGGACGGAGGAACAGTAATAACAACACAATGGCACACACACACACACACACACGCAGGGAGATAAATTAAAAAAAAAAAGATGTTAACTTTTGAAAGCAAATTTCTACAAAAAGAGGATGGGTAGATGGGAGAAACAAAAGGTTACGAATGGTCTCGGCTCCACCCGCCTGCCTTCACTGTCATTACAGTTGCGCGGGTAATTAATCGGCAACCACAAATGTTCCTTCTTCCACTTTATTTTTTTTTTTCTCATTATTATTATTTTCACTATTTCATTTTCCTTTTCGCGCCTCTACACATATACAACAAAAATACAAAAAAGGAAGAATAAATAAAAATTTAAAAAAAAAAAGAAACAGGAACACACACTTGAATGCGGAGCGCCTTTTTGGGAGAGGCAAAAAGTCTGCGCAGTCCGGGAATCGAACCCGGGCCTCCCGCGTGGCAGGCGAGAATTCTACCACTAGACCAACTGCGCCCGTGGAGGCGGCTCGGTTTTCTTCCGCTGTCTTTTTCCCTCCCGACCGTCGATGGGACCTCCGCGAGAGAAGAAAGCAGGGAAATGTTTCTAGGGACACTATTTTCAATTCCGTTGATTCTGTTGTTATTCTTTTTTTTTCATGTATATTATATTCTTCCTGTAGGATATCCCTCTCCATTGCGTGAGTGAGTGAATCTTCTTCTTCGTTTGGCCTCAAAGTGGTCTATAAGGAAAGCAAGAGATTTCAGCGGGAAACGCGTGGTCGCTCCGTCCTCCCAGGCCGACGCGCTACGTGCGGTGGCCGTTGAGAAGCAGGCGTGTCACCGTAGCTGCGCACCGCGGATGGATCAACCGACACAACAAAGGGCTGATGCGGTGATGATCTTACATTATATGCACATGTATCGGGTGCGTAGCAAACATGGCAGGGCGGTCCAGGTGGACAAAAGTGATGTACTGGGCACGTCGCCTGTGAAGAGGCCTGCTGCGGCACTCCAGTGTACTGATAAGAATATCCCTCTTGGCTGCAAACTGGGCCAATTGGTGTAATCGTTGCTGTCGCCGCCGGTGCTGTCGTTGCCGTCGTCGTTTTTTGAATGGGTGGGCCCTCAAATCGGGCTGTGGTACTAGGCGTGTGGCTCGTGCGTGCTGACGGCAGACGCACTGTCCGGGCGTCATACAGTCGTGGAGGCACGCCTTTCGATTCCTCCACCTCTTCCTCCACGGTCTGCGCCCCTCTAAGCACCTGTACGGCTTCCTTGTTCAACGCGCATACACCCCGAACAAAAGCCGCCTTCATCTTTTCTTCCAGGCCATCACTTCGACGTCGCTCCTCCTCCACAATCCCTTTCAACGCCTCTGCTTCTGCCAGTAGCTCTGCCTCACGACGGCTCCAGCGTGACTCTTCGGCAAGCGCATGCTTACGTTGTCTGCGGGACGCGGCAAAGAGGCGCCACTGTACGTAAAAATGGTACTTTCGCATCACATTTCCAGTTTGAATCATTGTCCTGCAGAGTTGACGTTGTTGTCGTTTCTTTAAGATCCAGTCCAGCCAATCACGGAATCGGCGCCGCCACCACAACCTTTTATGGGCGTCACCCAAAGTCAGAGCCAAAGCCTGCACCAATTTTTTCTGCTTTTGAATATTTTCTTCAGCAACGATAAGTGAGGCCTCTATTTCCCGCTTCTCATCCATCAGGACCTGCTCTCGGCGCTCCGCTTCGGCCCGCAGTGACTCCCTCATGAGCCGTAGCTGCTCCCCGATGTACGGCGACAAAAGAAGAAGAATGTCCTCTCGCATTCTCGAGGTGTGGGTGTCAATGCCATGCCCTACCTCCCGTAGAAAATCCCCGAAGGGCACTCCTCCTCCTACTCCCGTCATTCCTTCCAGCAACTCCTTGACTTTTCGTGGGTATGTGCAAGTATGTGTATGTGCATATACGCGTGTGTGTTGTTGTTGTTGTGGGGAATTGTGTCCAGACAGCAAAGAAAGAAGAAAGAAAAAAAAAAAACAGAGAGAAAATACCATTGTGTTTGTCACTCAAACAATTGTTCCCAGCAATATATATATATATATATATATATATTCAGCAAATTGAATGGTTTCTCTCTTCTAGCCTTCAGAAGGAGCATCTTGTGAAAGGAGGGGTGCATCGTATGTGAACGCGGCATCACACATCACCGTACACCATGTTATCTTGTCCAGCCCGCGCACGATTGATCGTAACTGAGCATGTGGTGGTGTATGCAGCTGTTCGTTGCCCTCCTCGCCAGGTCCCAAAGTGACAGGGGGGATAAAGAGAACAGGTATTCCTGAACATGCCCTCTCGTGCGATTTGGTCACAATGAAGCCGAGCATTAAAAGCAGAAAAAAAAAAAGAGAAATACGCCGAGCAATAAACGACAAAAAGAAGAACGACCAAGAGCATTAATAGCGGCCAACCATTTGAATTCAACAATGGCCCATCAACTCCTATCACCGCCCTGCAAGAGAGGGATTTGGAACAATCAAAAAAAAAAAAGTTACCACTTCCAACCACCAAATAATAATAATAATATGAATGATGCCTCCCCCTCTCCCCCAACGGAATCCGTTTATAAGACACACACAAAAAAAAAGATTCTTGCCATAATTCACTGGGGTACTCGCAACAAATAAATAAATAAACAGCGACAATAAACGGCAATATTGACCGAGAACACGTGTCACCTCCCCTCTGCTTCAAAAATCTCCCTAGTAGAGAGATCCGGCTGAGACCCGAGCGCTTCCTCATTCATGGAAGAGGCTGAGCTCTGTCGCTCTTGTAACTTTGCTGCCTGTTGGGGACTAAGTGTGGTTTCATGCGCCCGAAGAGACTCCCTGCGCTTTTGCAGCTCAGCGTATTCCTTGGCAGCGATATCTGAGCGTAGATTGGGATTATTTGCAATCCGCTCATGTCTCACAGCGTCACGGTACAACAATGATGAGCCATAAGTAAATGTTGAATGCGTCGGATCCGCCAAATGAGCCTGTAGCGCGTAAATAGTGCGATCCAGTTCACGCCTATCAATAAGGTGGGCCAACTTTTCCCGTACGTTCGTCAACTCACGCAGAAGTATTTTCTTCTCTGACTCGTCTCCTGAGAGAAGAATTTGGCACATACGTCGCAGAGCATCGTTAATTAACTTCTGTCCACGATTGCGAGAGGCAAGTGCACCTTGTGTGTAGATATACAAATAAGCCGGTTCATACATATCCCACATCTTGCGTACCTCATCCGCATTTTTGGGTTGAACGCGGAAGGCAAAGTAGAGATGCGTCCAGAAGAGATACGGATCTGAGCCTTCATGCTCCTGCGACCGCCAACGCAACACTTTCTTACGAAACACCTCCTCGGCAACTTCGTTTGCAACAGAAAAGTACTCCTCCAACTCGGGTAAATATGCCCCGCCATGCGCACGTTTCTCCATGCCCCTAAGAAGTAGTTCATTTGAAGGCCTGTTCTTGAGGCGCGCATTCACTCGATTTGTAATGCACTCACCGAAAGCGGCAAGATTGGCGTGAACCAAAGCAATTCGGTAGGGAAGATCCGAAAAAGGTTCCAACCAATGCCTGGGCTCCTTGGCCGCAAAGAGTTTGTCCACCACCACCTCTACTTCCCGCAAATGTCTTTCGACATCGCACCCAGGCTCATAGACCCGCATCAGATACTTTGCCTCTGTTAATAAAGGTGCCTTCCATGATGAAGGTAGTCTCTCGCGTGCTGTTCGGATGGCCAAATGATAAAAATTCAGACATTTCTCGCGATAGGAACGGCCAGTCTGAAAACGGCCTTGCCTAAACATAAATTCACTATGTTCATTATACAAGTCTCCCATATGACGCATCCAAAGGTGCTCTGCTGTTTCTTGAGTTAGTGGAGCCCCTTCCAAAAAAGGGCGGGCGCGCTCCGGAAATGGATGAATGGAAGGATGGGTTTTTTTATTGACATTCTCCAGACAGCGATCCGATATATCCATCGCGAGAGTCAAACGGCCGCGCCGTTCGTTGTACCACATGTATTCTGTCTCATCCGTTACAGGATACCACCGTTTTGATGTTCCAGAGTGCCATAGCCCCTCCGCCTTGTCCAACTGTCCGCTGATCTCGGCGTATACAGCGTGTTCACCATCCAGGAATTCCTTCTCATCGTATTCATACGGAGGGTCGGAGTCGGGAATGGGGATTTGCACAACGCCGTTCGCTGCCTTGGCATAATTGGAAAAACATTCAATAGAGTCCTCAAACAAATCCTCCGCCCGTGTACGGAATCGAGTATCGGCAAATTCAATGTACATCTGATGGAGCTGTTTACCCGCATAGAAGCAAAGTGCCCCCCGACACCATTGGAAAAATGCTTCAACGGCGGCATCGCGCGCGGAATTCGTCACCCCCTCGACACGCATGGGGCATTTGAACTTGGCGTCATTGACATGTTTCCTTAAAAACTCCAGGTTCGTTTCCAGTTGTTCCACGCTTTTAAATTCGGTGAGAATAAATTCACCCAGTTCGTTGGTGATCCAATTCATAAACGGCTTTCCCAGTGACTCGTACTTTCGGTCTCGGATCATGATAACATAGCGTTGCGCAGGATTCTTGCGGACCGAGTCAAGTTCAAGAGAAGTCATCTCCTGAATGAAATTCATAAAACTCGGCCCAAGCAATTTGCACTTTGCAGATGCCCGGCGCAAAATCTCGTCCGCCTCCGCTTTGGTCGTCTTGGCCTCTGTCACTCGATTCCCCTTGAATTTGTAGAAGTCTGCAAGAAAGTGCTTTGTATGCGCCTCGAATATCATCCGGAAGATGGCCTCGTGTTCCTCTGGGATCGTTGGATGCTCCCCGACATCCCCACGACGAAAGCGATCCATTGTGTCCATCAACATTTGCTCGCACTTTTCTTCGGTTGTCACTTGTGTGAGATTTCCAAATTCGGTTATGCTCTGCCGAAAGGTGTCACGGTATGCTCGCCATGTCTTTTCCATGTCCGGTTTGTTGAAGTCGACGGCGTCTTCGGCAGCCACACCACGATACGGATCCGTGATAGAGTCTGTTTCCCAAGGCAGAGAAGGAAGGAGGATATCGGGGTCGTATTGTACCTTTGCCTTCTTCAATCGCTCTTGCCGTTCCTTGCGTAATTTCTCAGACTTTTTCTTTTCAGTGGCACCTTTCGTCAGCCCAGTCTCTCCCTCCTTCTGATCACCCTTTCGCAGCTCCCGAAAGAGCGGAAGAGGCTTGTATCCCTCCACCAACTCTGGTAAAGATTGTAATTTGTGCATTTTCATCTCATCAAAGGCCGAAATGCCACCAATGGCCTCATCATTTGTAATGCGGGTCTCTTCGATGAGTTTGGGAGGTTGATAATACTCCACCTTCACTGCTTCCCGTGTTTCTAACGGATCATGTGTCAAGTCATATGCTTGAATGAGCGGTTCTGTCTCCACAAGCGTTTCACGGTACCACTCCGGTATGGTTTCTGTTTCATATTCCTTTGGGGTGTTGTAGAGCTCTACTGGAATATTAGGCTCTGCATCCTGTGGACGCTTCGTCACATGAATAAAACCTGAAGGTACCTCCTTTTTCGTTTCACTCTCTAATACTCCATATTGAGATGTGGAGTTTGCCTTGGAAGCAGCCAACAAATCTTCTTCAGGCAACGCCCCCTTATCCTGAGCATCTAGTGTTGGGACAATCTTGCTCTCAATATTATGCAATACGTTTTCCATAGTCTCCAATTTGCAGGCACCATGCGTTTTTTGAAGACGTTTTGTCTCCTCAATTTTTTTTTCGACTAATGAACGAAGTACTGGACGGTCGCCATGCTGCTTGGATGTATTGTGATGCGTCTTCATAAGAACGGGAACGGCATCATGGCCAGCCTGCCTCGCCATATCAGCGGTTTGCTCCAGCATTTCATTCCGGATGTTTGCCTCTGCAGCGATCGAAGCACCCTGTTCCACGGTAATACCGGTGGGAAGAGGCTCCATATCGGCCTTTGGGAATCCAGAAATAGGGTCGACCTCCAAAGTGCCCGGTTTTCTCCCGTCCTGGAGCGCTTGCTTGGCACCATACGCCTGTATCTTCATTTTTGTTCGTGCCACCTCCAGCGGGTCCGCTGTGCCTGAGAGGGCCTGATATGTCTGCTCAGGATCAAGATCCACCACGCCGGAGACAATCCCGTTGTAGACATTGCCCATCTCCAGCTGACGCTGCTCCTCCTCCTCCATAAGTGTCCGATCCTCACGGAGGCTTTCATGTACCGCTTTCCGTTCCTCCCCCTCTATGAGCCACATGCGATCCTTGTACTTTGTGTCCGCCAAATGCTTCCAGGATGTATCGGACCACCGCTGATCGGATGGAAGAACTCGACGTCTACCGTGTTCATCGTAATGGTCAAGATAGTCCGTGTATCCTTGAGGCCAAATCATACGATCCTTTTGAATCTTGAAGGATCGATCTTTCCAGTGCAAATACCATTCCTGTTCCCGCTCAATTGGATCCTGAATGTACAGGTCAAATCGATCACGAACTTCCTGGATCATTTCCTCCGCAGTTGGTATCAGTCCCTTTCGCCATCGCACTTCCCAAGGAAGTCCATCCACATCCTGTTGTTCCTGCAACATATCACGACGCATCTGCTGTGAGCTTTTCGTCAGTCGCTCACCAGGACCATATTCTCCAAAACGGCTTCGCATCTCATGCTCCTTTTCAACGTCTGTGCGATTGCGACGTTCCTCTGGAACCTCTGGAACCATGACATGCTCCAAGTTGTTCATACCGAATTGGATATGCTGTGTTAGGTCCGGTGGTTCTATCAACGACATCTGGTTCCCAGTGCCAGGGTCCGCGTTGGGACGACTGCGCTGTTTTTCACGGGATGGGCCCATGCAGTGTCGGGCCTGAGTGCCACAACATGCCGCTATTGGGGGACATCTACACGAGGCCGAGCTCAGGGGCCCTCCAGCAAGGCTCGAAATCGATAGCTGAGAGTGAACGCGACGCATACGTCAATTTCCTGTAAATCCAATTTTTTATCCTACTTTGCTCCTTTCCCTGATGAATCAATAAGAGCAGATATTCAGAAGTAAAAAAAGGAAGAGGATTAAAAATGGAAAAAATGAAATAATTAAAAAATAATAATAAGAAGAAATTAATTTATATCTATGCAGGGGTTAAGGGAAAAAATTTGATGTCCCGAATTCAGCGCTTCGGCAAAAATAATAATAATAATAATAATAATAATAATAATATATGCATATCCCAAAAGGAATCGTCCGTATTCCAATCATACCTCCCATCAAAAAAAAAAAAAAAATTTTTCTTTTTTTTCCCTTCCATTCGCGTTTCATTCCTTGTTACACACATATTTTCCTTCTCCGCACTCCTCCTAGCCTGGCAATACCCTCATTACTATGAGAACCAACAGGTCTGACCTTTTTGTTATAAAATATATATATATATATATAATGTATATATAGAATGTATATATAGATGTATCAAAGGGATCCCCAAATCCAGCATCCTCCCTCTTCTTTCATAAATATAATAATAATAATAAGAAGAACAATGGGTTTATATATATAGATGTAGATATAAAACATAATGAATATTTTTAAAAAATGATGCATTACTCCTTTTTTTTCTTCTCCCTCTCTCTGTCTCTTTCTCTCACTCTGTCTCACTCTGTCTCTCTCTTTCTCCCTCCCATTAAGAAATCGGCACGGGGCGACGCCTCCCTTTCATCCCGTCCGAGCCCTTGGGTGGCTTCTGCGTAGATGAAGCCTGAAGATTTTCTTTTGTAGGCCTTGCCGGCAACACCTCACCCTTCAAAATTCGTTTCATTTCTTCACCCGAGAGGGTCTCGTGCTGCAGGAGATGTTGAGCGACAGAGTCCAATTCCTTCCGGTGCACAAGGAGTATTTCTTTAACCTCCTTATATGAGTCTTTTAGGAGGGAAGCGACCTCCTTTTCTATTTTCCTTTTTGTTTCTTCCGACATGTACGCACCCTCTGGCGTGTCTGAAGACTCATAGTCAACAAAGCCGAGATCTTCACTAAATCCAAAGCGCCTTACCATATTCCGCGCCATCTGCGTCGCCTGATGGAAATCCGAGCTGGCACCAGTGGTCACGTCATCTACCCCAAGCAAGATCTCTTCACCCACGCGCCCTGCAAGGCAAACTTTAAGTCGCGCCAAACACTGCTTTTTTCGTTGGCTGTACTTGTCCTTTTCAGGCAATTGTTGTACAAGTCCCATGATACCGTTGCCTCGAGGAACAATTGTTGCCTTGTGCACAGGATCTGCACCTTCCTTCTCTAGAAGAATTGCCGCTAAAGCATGGCCCCCTTCATGGTACGCCGTCACCCGTCGTTCTTCTTCAGGAATGATCTTCTTACTCTCCGCACCCATCATCACACGATCTTTGGCGTACTCAACATCCTCTACAGTTATGGCAGTTTTATGAAGAACCGCGGCTCGAATTGCTGCAATATTAACCAAATTGCTCAGCTCTGCACCAGTAAAACCGGTTGTTCCACGAGCGATTTCTTGAGCTTTAACAGAAGCATCCGCCTTCACCTTGTTTAAATATACCTCTAATACTTCTTCACGACCTTTCATATCCGGTGGATCGACAGAAATTGTTGTATCAAAACGTCCAGGACGAGTCAGAGCCTTGTCCAAGGCATCCGGAGTATTCGTGGCTGCCAGAACAATAATTGACTCCTTCGAACTGAATCCATCCATCTCAGCCAAAAGTTGATTTAGTGTCATACGGGAATAGGCGTGATCTGTTCTCGATCGTTTACCGCCTAAGGCATCAATTTCATCAATGAAGATTAGGGCAGGGGAGTTTGCTTTTGCAGCTGCAAATAATTCCCGGACACGACGTGAGCCGACGCCTACATACATTTCGTCAAATTCGCTCCCTGTGGCGTAGAAGAAGTTCACACCAGCCTCCTTTGCAATGGCCTTAGCGAGCATCGTCTTGCCGCATCCAGGGGGACCGACCAGCAATGCACCCTTTGGAAGTCGCCCTCCCAAATAGTAAAATCGTTCTGGGTCCTTGAGAAACTCAACAATATCTTCAAGCTCCTTTTTTGCCTCATCACAGCCACGAATCGAGTCAAATGTGACATCAAGATCATTTAGGTCCACAGGTTTCACATCGGCAGACCCGAACATGCCTGTAATTGCCCCTCGTGAAATAGCAGAAGCCCTCACGGATGAATTATTTTCCTGAATTCGGGTACTTAATTCATCAAGAAGATTCAATATGCAACTAAACCCTATTCCAAGAAGTAGCAACAGCCACAGTCGCGTTGCCCACGATGCCTGTTGAGGAGCCGAGAGAACAAATATCGGCCGTTCTTTGGTTCCCAATTCCGGTACTGCTGCGCCCAAAAATCCTGTTGGGTTCACCCGCTGATTATTGAATATTGGTGGGACCGGTGGACCTCCCTGGTATACATATGGCGGGACTGGCGGCTGCTGCATGGAAGAAGGGGAAGGCGGTGGCGGGTATGCGGTCTGTCTCGAGTAGTCGTGATAACTGCGTCGTTGAATAGAAATTGAATGCGGAATAATAACCGTCGTGAGTCTCTCGCCAGGAGATAATTTAAAACGCAGTGCTAATGTCTGCTGCCGCAAGACGCTCTCAAATTTTCCATAATATCGCCGCATTTTCTTTTTTTTTTTTTTTTTCCCTTTTAATAAATAAATATATACAAATATATATTTATTTACTTCTGTGTTTGTTTTATTCCAACCCACACCAAAAATAAACAAATAAATAAAATACAAATAATAATAATAATAACAATAATAATAATAATTTGACCCCAACTAATAAATACTTGGGCCTCTAATAAAAACTACAAATAAATAAATAAATAAATAATAAAACAAGGTGGAATAAATAAAAAAAAAAACGTAGAATAAATGTCACATCATTCTTTATTTTTGAACAACAGCGAGTATCTCCAAAACAAACAGAAAAAAATAAAAATAAAAAAATATACATTTTTTTTTTGTTTTTTTATTTATTATCTTTTTTTTCTTTTCTTTTCTTTTCTTTTCGAGGGTCATATGTCGTGGGCTCCCCCCTCCCACCCCCCCTCCCCTCCAAAAAAAAAAAAAGGGAGTTTACTTCACATTCCTCAAATCCAAAATGCTCTTCGTGCCCCCTAACCCTTTTTTTTTTTATTTTCCTCGTTTTTTCTTTTCATTTCCTTTTTCTTTTTTGACTTAGTTCCCAACAACAACAACAACAACAATAATAATAATAGTAGTAGTAGTAGTAGTAGTAGTAATATTAGTAACAGAGTAGAGGGAGCGAGAAATGGGCTCCACCGTGACAAAAAAAAAAAAAAAAAAATTCCGTTTTTCCCACCAGATCCCAGGTTTCAGTGGATGTTGTTAACTTATGCTGTACGTTGACAGTATCATCTCACGAAGGTTCGGATGCAAGGCGCTCAGATGTTCTCTCAGCTGCTCACCGTGTTTACTGCTATAGAAAAGAAGCATGGAGCTAATTTTTTCTCGAGTACCAGGAAAGTTACATGCTGCCTGTTGCCAACTGTAAATAAGCCGCATAACATCTGGAAATATGGCGGAGGCAATATCCTCCGCTGACAACAGAGCATTCATTAGAGATATTGTTGCTGATGATTTATCGCATGTGTTTTCTGCCTGTGCCATAATCCGTGAAATCTCATCAGGACGTGATTGAACCAAAAGTCCCGGCACAGCATCAAGGGTGTGACATATATCGTATGCCATTTGTGAGAAAAGCCAACGAGAATCATTATAAGCGTCGCTCCGAAGTGCATCTACAGCAGCCGCAAATGCTACAGAAGCAATTTGCGGAAATTCAGAAAAATACATTTCAACCATCAGTGTGATCAAACGCACCAAGTCTAACTTATCGTAAGAATCATCAATTGCACGAATGGAGGAAGTCAGCGCAACAAGCAGCTTCTCGCCTATGCCATTCGGATAGGCGGATTTCTCAATAAACTTAAGTAACCGATGGAGTAATGTGACAGCTGCTGATTTCACCGTTTGTTTGGGTAAAGTAACAAGAAATTGAAATCCTAAACTCGCTAAAGACCCCTGTGTTTGACGTGACCATTCAGTGAGTGCGGCAGTGGAAGTGACACCTAAAAAGTTGCAGCAAGTAAGCATCATATTGCACAACAAATCCTCATCTTCTCGGATGTCTCGTTCGGCTGCATCCTTTAACGCCGCATGCCATACCCCGAGAATCTTCAAGGAAGTTTCTGAATCTGGAAATCGTGTCAAAAAACCGGCGACAAAACGATCAATGGAAAAGATATCCTTATCGACATGCGTGTTGGGCACCCCGTTGATATAAAGAGCCACGTAGGACGTTTCAAAGTATTTGATGCGCTCTATTCGATTACTTTTAAATGCGGCTCCAATTCGTGAGGTCATATTCAAGTCTTCTGCAACAGCAATCAAATGCAAAGCCAAATCGCAAAGAAGTGACAAATTTCCATCGCAATATATAGGCAAACATGCAATGATTGACTCAGACAAATAAGGAAAAGTTTCAACAAGCCTTGCCGTTGCACCCATGTTGTGTCCCGTTACGAATGCCGTATTTAAAGCAGAAACCGCGGCTTGTTGAACACGTTTACTGGTGCTTTGCATTCTAGAAACAAACGCTGCCACAATATCGGACAGGATTTTTTCATCGCATATAAAAGCCCATTCTAATATTCGTGATAATGACCAGATAGCAACACTAACCACAAAGATATCTTCTGACAATGACATGACGGTATCAATCAATTGTCGAATAATATCCGGAACCGTAAGCTCAATTTCAGTATAACAACCATTTGCAATGGTTCCAAACAATACGATTGAAGCTTCCTTGAGTTGTCGATCAGCACCCCACAAAATTTTAATCTGCTCAATTAGATGTGGAAATGTCTCCTTACTTGAAAAAACACAAAGAGCGTCAATACACCGTAGTGCTGATGCGCGCAGTGTGGCGGCTCCACAATCATCATCCATAAATGTATCTTCAGATATATCTTTGCTTGCCTCATTTAAATGATAATTAACCGCAGTTGCATCACGCAACCGATAGTCATCATTTGCTAAAATACCGTTCATCTCTTCGATAGACATTGGAACACAAGTCACCAAGGCCTGTACAAGATCTGGTAGCATCAGGGGTATTGGTTCCATCAGAAAAGAAATAGGCCCATTACCACCCATTCGATCATATAATTTCAAAGCTGCCGTTAACAAATCCATAGCAGCAGTCTTCAATTGAAGATTATATTCACCCACATCAACTCTTGAAGACACTAGATCTATTGTGCGACGAATCCACCAATCGATTAACTTGGTCATTTCCGCATCGGGCATCGGCGTAAAATAATCAAGATATTCAAGCATTATTGCACACGAGCGCAATACTTGAATCAAAAGAGGAATATCGCCCCCACAGCCCTGCTCCAAAAGCGCCGTACATACACCAGCAAATGTACCACTTGCAGCCGTTAAGCCCGTTTGTAATGGGGAAAGTCCTTCTACATTCCAATCGAGTTGTTCTGCTTGTTCATAAATATTAAAACACATTCGGAATGCGGCTTTTTGCAGATTTGTTTTGGTATTTTGATCCAATACAAGCGTCACAACTCGCTCGATAATGTCTTTACTGGCAGCACCTACTTCTTTTGGGAGATCTTCCATTAGATATTGTAGAGTATAAAGAGCAGACAACGTCCTTAAATCTCCCGCCTCAAATAACTCGTTGAGAAGTAAATGTGAAAGATTACCCATTCCACACTCCTGCCACCAGCCAAAAGAAGTAAGTGCTGTTATTTTAACTATGATTTGAGCCGCCACTCGAGCAATTCGAACGTCCGATGGATTACCCAGCACGGATAAAGTACAGCGAGCGGCTTCCTTCACAGCTACTAGGCCCAGTGAGTACTTGGATTTCTCAAGATTGTTCTTTAAAGTAATTCCGGCAAGTCTTCTGTACTGAATCCACGATCCACCTAACTGCAGTTCTTGAATAGGACAAGCCTCTGCGCCAAAAACGTAGGAAAGCAAAATGCAGAACGACGGATTTGCCTGATATTGCTGCAGTTCTGCATAAGCCTTCTTGGAATTTTGGACACTAACACCATTATCATGAAGAAGTCGCAACACGTTTACTACGTCATTTGGTGTTGGACGATAAATTTCTTCGGAATTCATCGCACCTTATCTAATTCTTGTTTAATACAAATAACATCATAAAAATAAAAATAAAAATGCAGTTAATGCATTAAAAGTAGTCTTCATTTTTTTAATTCAAATAAATTCGGTGGCCCACGTGCACCGTCGCAGAAACATTTCTGGCTCCTGGCTTCACCCGAAAATACAGGGCCATTGACCCTGGCACCACGCTGAGGTTGTCATACATGACATCACCAGGGAAAAAGAACGAATCGCAGCAAAACTCAAGAGACAACGAACACTACCCCAAAAGACAACGGGTGTAAGATGTAGGCTTCTATGCCAAAAAAACAAAACAAAAAAAGAATAAAAAGGTGGAAATAACAGACGACCCCCCAAGATAACCCCAACCCTAAAGAAACACCTGACGATCGACATGTGGCAGCGCGTGAGTCCACAGGCAAACCCTAAACCCGCGCCCAACTCAAATAAATAATACCTTCTTCAAAACCTACCGCCCAATTAACAGGAAAAAAAAAGCGCAAAGTATGATCCTTGTTTTTGAACCCTCGTTTTGCATTTAAATGACTCTCATTGCTCGCATATACATTTTTTTCCCTTCTTATTTGCATTCATTTCCTGGCACCCCCGCCAAACCCGTTGTTATTTCCTTTTGAAATTTTCCCTCCGGCCGCTGCTTCAGTGTGCTGAGATGTAGGCAACGAGGTCCAGCACTTTGTGGGAGTACCCAGTCTCGTTGTCGTACCATGGGGCGAGCTTCGCGAAGTGATCGTTGAGGGAAATACCGGCCTTGACGTCAAAGACGGACGTCAGCGCGACGCCATTCATGTCAGTGGAAACAACCTCGTCCTCCGTGTAGCCAAGAATGCCTTTCAGCTCCCCCTCAGAGGCTGCCTTGATGGCGGCGCAGATCTGCTCGTATGTCGCTGGCCTCTCCAGGCGCGCGGTGAGGTCGACAACAGACACGTTTGGAGTCGGCACACGGAACGCCATGCCGGTCAGCCTGCCGTTCAGCGCGGGAATAACTTTCCCAACCGCCTTGGCTGCTCCGGTGGCGGACGGAACGATGTTCTGCGCCGCACCGCGACCTCCGCGCCAGTCTTTCTGCGATGGACCACCCACTGTTTTTTGTGTTGCCGTGGTGGCATGCACTGTCGTCATGAGACCCTCAACGATGCCAAATTTCTCATGAATAATCTTCGCAAGCGGCGCAAGGCAGTTCGTTGTGCACGAGGCGTTGGAGACGATTTCCTGTCCCTTGTACATCGTGTTGTTCACACCCATGACAAACATGGGCGTGTCGTCCTTTGGCGGGCCTGTCATGACGACCTTCTTTGCGCCGGCCTGAATGTGCTTGCGGGCGGTCTCATCGGTGAGGAAGAGACCTGTCGACTCGACCACGACCACCGCGCCGACCTCATTCCACTTGAGATTGGCGGGATCGTGCTCACTTGTCACGCGGATCTTCTTGCCGTTGACGACAAGAGCACCTTCCCGCACCTCCACCATGCCGCCGTAGCGACCGTGCGTGGAGTCATACTTCAGCATGTACGCCATGTAATCCGCGTCCAGCAGATCGTTAATGCCAACAATCTCAATGTCGTTGCGGTGTTGCGCGGCGCGGAAGACCATTCGGCCGATGCGGCCAAAGCCATTGATGCCAATCTTGATGGTCAATTTTTTCCCTTCAGTCATTTTCTTTCTTCCTTCCCTCCGGTAACGTTTGCGTTGAATACCGATGATTAGATTACGATGTTGTGGCTGCTAACAAGCAACTACCCAGGCGCCAGCAAAGACAACGCGGTAACGGAAAAGGCGAAGTGTCAATGGCACCCCGCGGCGCAAAGCTGCGGTTTTACCCGGGTCCGCGCTCCCGCCACGTTGCCTTCGCAACCGCTTCCCTTGAAAGGCCTTAATGGCTCATGAGGAAGTTGAGAAAAAAAAAAGGGGAATGACAGGAGGACTTCCCCAGGAAATTCGAACTGACCAAAAAATTGTCGCGCCCTCTCGTTCTGGGGGTTATTGGCTTTCGCTTGACCCTCGAATACCCCACCTTCACCCAACCAACGCGATTGCAAAACGGAAGGGGAAAAAAAGAAGTAGTTATTTTTCCATTCGTTCTCCTCCTGCTCACGTAAAAAAAATTTTGTTTTGAAAAACAACAACAAAATAAATATATTTGCTTGCATTCTTTCCGGATGCCTCGCTAGAACTTGTATTTGTAAAAGCCTTCTCCAGTTTTACGACCGAGTTTCCCTTGAGCAACTTTCTCGTCAATGAGCTTGGAAGGTTTAAACAATGGATTTTCTGGCTCCTCCTTATGCCATGCGTCTGCGATCAACTTGAGTACGTCAATTCCGATACTGTCAGCCAAGACAAAAGGCCCCATCGGATGTCCACAACCAAGCTTCATCGCCAAATCGACGTCCTCAACGGTCGCATCGCCCCTTTCCACAATCCGACAGGCCTCCAATTCGTATGGAATAAGCAAACGGTTGACAATAAACCCTTTCGTGTCCGTCGCCATCACCGGCTGCTTATTCAGCATTTTTGCGTACTCCAGAATCCGATCCAGAGTCGATTGGGAAGTCTTTGCTGCCTTCACAACCTCCACCAGCTTCATCATTGGCACGGGAGAGAAGAAGTGTAGACCAGCAAAACGATCTGGTCGACCTGTGACTGCTGCTTGCTCTCCCACCGAGAGCGAGGAGGTATTCGTACAAAAGACGCACTCTTTCGGGGCCATGCCATCAACTTTCCTCCAAAGAACCTTCTTCGCGTCAATGTCTTCCAATATGGCCTCCACAATTAAACTCGCATTGGATGCCGCCAATCGCTCGTCTGTCGTAAAAGTTATTCGCGAAACGGTTTCATCCACAAAAGCCTTCATTTTTTGATCGTCGCCAGGATATTGCTTCTTCCCAATACGGGACAAGGAACTCTCGATGGACTTGCGCGAGGCACTCAACCGCTCCTGCGATACTTCAACGACGGTGGTAGGAATTCCAGCTTGTGCATTAACCTGGGCAATACCACTTCCCATCGTACCACCGCCCCACACAGCCACGGAATTAAAAAACATTCGAGAGGTATGGCGAAACATGTTTTGGTGTAGGAACTCAATAAATTTATGAACCAGCTTGAATAGAAAACGGGAGCAACCACGCATTTCACACAAAAAAAATATTCAATTTAATATATATACACGCATATTTACGTAAGAACCCAATATATATACATATATATATATATATATATATATGCACGTAATCAATAACAAAATCCCACCGCTGTATCAAATAGAAGCATAAGCCTTAGCGAAAGTATTTCTCATATATTTTTTTGCGATATCGGATCTCCGCCAGCAGTGCTGCAGAAAAATAAGGCCTAAAAAAAAATCCTTTTTTCGCCCCCTTTTTGTTTTTTCTTTTTTTCTTTTTTGCTGTTGCTGTTTTTTTTTTTTTTTTTTTTTGAGAAAAGCATTATCTAGGCAGGCTGAACCAATATATCCGAAGCTCCCCAGCGAAAATACCACCCGAGCGCTATCACGGCGATGCAGGCAGCAAGAATTGCTCCAACAAAAAAGCTTGCAATCGCAACACCGGCAATCCCACTCGCGCCCAAGGCTTTCCCACCTTTTTCCCCGCCCTTTTCCATGCAATAAGCTGCGGTACACACACACTGCAATGTCACCGGATCCAGTGTAAAGTCAGAGTCGCAAGACCACGCAGGACACAACTTGCGGTAGGCCATGCAGTGTTTGTTAAGAGGCTTTCCTTCCCGCGTCGGGCATTTCAACAACGCCTTGTAGCGGTCGTTGAGGTAGCAAAGCCCCGCGGGGTCCGTGGGCCTAGTGGAATCCACAAAACGCTTAAAGTCCTGGTAGAGACAGGTATTTTGACTGGCGTTGTAAACATTGCCATTGCTGTCCATGCATCTCAGTTGAAACCCATCCCAGCTGAAACGGTGTTTCGTATCCGGCGTCTGTTCAGGAGAGCCTCGCATCGCCCGTATGCTGTGAGTGTTGGTGGAATCATCGTACAGTAATTCGAATGCATACAGCTGGGCAAAGGGTGGCATCATACTTTCAGGTCCAATATCACCAAGCGTCGCTGCCAGCGGCATGAGGGTTGTGTCGTGGGCGCTGTAATGGTAAAGCTTGTATTTGGCTTTGCCCTGCATGTGTAGCTCAGCGTTCGCCAGTAACTGTTGCGCCAGGTTCTGGCCCTGGCTACCCATCCTCACGTGTTGCTCGTCCGAGCTGTTGTACGCATATTGAGAACTGTAATAGAACCGAGAAAAGGATCGCAACCGTTCCAGATTTGCTTTCAATAATTTGAAACTCCCTATCCGCCCATCAGCTTGCAAAGCAGCGCCAATGTCAAACAATACGTACGCACAATCCCACCGGTTTGCCGGATCCGAGCAGTACCCCTCACTGAACGCTTCCTTAGCAATGGCCTGCAGAGTGGAGAAGTCAATGATTTTGTCAACTTCCTTGTTTCCCACATCGTGTTTCCAGGCGTCATCCAGCAAATAAAAAACAGTGGCGAAAGGAGAAAGTCCGCCATCCAAGAGCCAGTCGGTACCGCGAGTAACGGTGTGAATAACAGGGAAAGCCGCACTCCTGTTAGGGAAAAGACCGTACAACAAACCCACGGCGCTCTGGAGTGTGCGTGGCACATCGGTGGAGCGGGTGTATGAAACTTCGACATCGTAGCTCTCGGAAGGGAAGAATGGATTATTGAGGTCACTGTTGTACCGTTCCCGCAGGAAAGTCCCGACTTTTATCAACATGTCTTTTCCGTGAATGTTTAGTTGCCCACACGGAACGTCGCCACATATTTGAGTTTGATTGTGATGCACAAGGGCAGACCGTGAGCCATGGCGATGTACCAATTGCACAAGGCGCAGCGTCACAGCGGCGTTACCACTGCCAACGTGCACCAACAGCAAAAAAACCAACCACACCGCCACATACCGGGCTCGGAGGTACACCCCTCCTGCTGTCATTTGGCCCTCCTTTAATAAAAAAAAATACATGTGTATTAATCGTTAAATTCTAGTACGCTCTCATTGAAAACAGAAATCAAGAAAATGATTAAAAAATGGGGTAGTTCAAAAAGCAGCACTATCACCTATTTAAACCCATCTGGTAATAAATTCTTCAAAAAAACTTTTAATAATAACAAAAATAATAATAACGCTAAAAGAAGACAATATAGGAGGAAAGGGTTCCGCGCAAAAGAATGCGTTGATTTCCATGTTTTTATTTTTGAACAATATTGATTCTTGGAGTTCTTTAAAAGGTCTTCGGACCCGCGGGCGACCTTTAATTAAGTATATTATGAAAATTTTGTTTTGCTGCAGTTGTCAAATGTTATGCATCTTTCTAATTTTTTCTATCAATCTTGTTGTTTACAGATGAAGTCAGGCCTCTTCTCATTATGGCACCGGACAGTTTACAGACGAAAGTGTTAATAATCTTCAGACCGTTATGCCGATTAAACGCCATTGCTTGTTTCACAGTCCTCCTTTTCATAGCCACTCAATTCATAGACCATGAGATGGCATAGCCTCGCATCAAGTGCTGCTGTATGCAGTGCCTTTTCTCTTTTTTTAACAAAATGCACATCATTTCTGCTGTCGCTTATAAGCATATATCGTCTATTTTTGTGTGTGCGCGTCGTTAACTGAAAGTTATCCCACTGTAGTACAACTCTCTTTTCTTGGTTCTGCTGACTGAAAGACTCCCAAAATACCTCATGCTCAGAAGCCTCCTTTTCACTGTCTTCATCACATTGCTACGCCTCTAACAATGACATACAGGATATGCCGTGTGCAACAATAGGCATTTTTCGCCATATCTTTAACTGCATTTTGGAACTGGCTCCACAAATCTGCCGTAGATGTTGCGTGTTTTTTGTTGTTTTTTTTTTTTGTTTTTTTGATTTTCCTCAAATAAATTCGATGTCCCACATGCCTGTAAGGCGTGCCCCCAGACCTCGTGGTGCTGTGCCACGCCCCAGCAAAACGCAGCTGGCCCGGGCGCTGGTTGTGATGCCGTCAGCCCCGCGCCAACAAAGAAGACCCCGTGAGGGAAACATTGCTGGCTCCTGGCTTCCCCCGACAATACGGAGCAATTGACCCTGGCACCGCGCTGAGGCAGTCAACCATAAAATTGCCAGGGTGTCGCAGTTGCTTCATCCATCTCTAGCTGATGCATACATAAAACAAAGGAGGGATGCACATAACTGTACGCTATAATTTCTTCAAAGGCTAGGTGATCCATAGAGCTTTTGTCAACTCTTGTGACGCGTTTTAATTGATGAAACAAAACCGTAATTTACCAATTTTCGTCGGTACCAAGTAGAGCATCAGCAAGAAGCGTTGTAAGAATCTCTATCAACGAGGCATAACACTCCCATCCGGAGCCATAAATAAATGAAAGACGTAATACATACACCTGATCTCCCAAAAAGTCATCCCCCAGCAAAGTAGCCAGTGCATCATGGGCTGAAGACCAAATACTTCTCGACTCCTTCTTAATCTCAGTACACACTCTCCCTCCCTGGTTTCCTCGCTAACATCCAATAACAAGCATATAGACGTAAGAGCATATAGTTCAGTCCTGTATTTGTATTGTGGTAAATGGAAAAGCAAATTCTCACGTCCCTCGTGAGACGCTAAAGCTATATCAGCAATCTGAAAAAACGCCGGAAGATTAGGTGCATAAATACGCTCCAGACTTTTTTGTGTCGTATTGAAATTAAAAGGTAACATTGGCATGATATTTGCTGAGTTGTTGTCATCATATTCCACCGAGTCATTTTTTATTCATTTATTCCCTTCTTCACACCATGCGGCGCAATCCTCAGAAATCTTTAGAGACCAGCTCAATAATAAATGCCTCAGGATCTTAATCGCGTTCTAGCAAACTAAACATCCCCTTGTCGCGGCCATTGTAGGCCTCAAGCATGAGTGTTGCTATCGCCTCCTCCTGAGGCGCGTAATGCCCTTTAAAGTTTTTGAAGCGCTCAGTTTTAGACTCATGTTTGTCCGCCATTTAGCTCCCTAAAATTATTATTATTATTATTATTATTTCATTTGCTCTCGCTAGCAACTCCGTCCCCCAGACTAGACCCCTTATGTATCGTAACCATAAAAAAGCTAAGAGATGAAGGGATTCATGGAAAATTGAAAAACGTAAAAAAGGAATGAACTCCCTTCCCCAATATATATGTAAATATACAAATAAATAACAATAAAAAACACAAAAAATAAACAATAAAGAAAAAGGTTTCACGATTATCTGTATAAATCAATCTTCATAGAAAAACTGGTGAACTCAAAGTAGCAAAACATCACTAATAATTCTTCCTCGGCACATCATATTGAACAAAATGAAGCCTTAAAAATAAAGAAAACATACTGCCTTCGGATTCAAAAAATATGCATTGAAGGAAAAGGTATCTTGATTATAGATTCTGAAAATTGAAAGGAAAAGCCGAACTTATGTAGTCCTACTATGAAGAGCAAATTGGCCAAAGCTTTATTCTGATTCATCTTATTATTACCTTACCCAAAAACAAATTATGCTATATTCACGGTAGATAAACATTATTTTTCTCTCCAATTCAGCATACAGACCTTTCTCGCAGCGATATACAACCTGTACTCCGTTATTATTTTGAAAGAATAAAACGTGAAATATTTGCATGCATTTTTCCCGCAATGACTCAATGTTTTATTGTTATTATTATTATTATTATTATTATTATTATTATTATTATTATTATTATATCAGGGTGTCATACGCGCGGTTCGAACATAAATATCGTCCTTAGAAAAATCAATAATAACATAATGATAGTAATAATAATAATAATAATAATAATAGCAATAAACACAATAAAGAAAAAAAGCAATCATCATGACAGAGCATAGCAAATATCAAATAGATAATAATCAATGCATCCACGTTAGGTTTTCTAATAGTTATACGAACAAATATAGGGTCATTAAATTTGAAACAAAACATGCCAATTATCAAGGTACAAAATATATGTATATATATCCCATCAATCGCGGGTTTTCTGTTTCTCATTGTAGACTATATGCATTAACTCTTTTGTTTTTGTCTTTTGATGATTTTTTTGCCGTCACTATTGCACTACATTAGCGCCAAATTCAGTATTTCAATACCTAATGGGCTTATGAAACACTCTAATGCACCCGCTAAAAATAAAAAATAAAAAATAAAAAACAAAATGGCACTCACATTCCTAACCGCTTACGTTTTTTACATTTAATTCCCAGAAAAAGATCACAAAGGTAAGTGTTAATTATATCAGATTCATGTGAAAATATATATATAACACAAACAAGTAACATATAAGACACAATCACCAACTCCTAATATTTTTTATTGCGGCTACAAAGAATTCCTTCAATCTGGTTTAAGGAAATGGCTTTGGTACCTTTTACAAGGCCTCTGAGCAGAGCTACGTTTGTGCCCGCTGGTTGGGAATATATGCCAGCACGGTGATATCCAGCCGCGGCTCACCTTTTCTGACGAACGCTGACCGTCGGACGCGATGGTAACCGTCGGCGCGGCAATGACAAACTTACGCCTGATCTCGGGATCTGCCAAGCATAGGGTGGATTCGAGCCTTGCGGAACACATTGCGAATCTCCGGGCGCCTCAGATCCCCAATTTCAAGACACAGGCGCTCCTGCCCGCTATGGGGGCAGCCCGGGAGTTGGGGCACCAACAAGGGCTCATCACTGCTGAAAGGGAGCGCCTGAATATTGATTACGCTAACGCCGTCGCGGTCGTGCAGAATCGAAATGCTCAACTTAACTCGCAGGTCGTGAGGGTGCGTTTCGGCCAATCGGTAAGGGAATCCAATATCGCCGGGGCCGGCAACCAGGTCCTAGAACTACGACAGCAGTTGAAGAACACTCGCGCCCAATTCCGGGAGCGCGAATTCAACTTGGGAAGACTCACTGCTCAACTCCGGGATCGGGAGACACGCCATAATGCACAACAACCCGCGCGGTATGCGGAGACGGCGGGGCGGGACGAGGCCCCCGCCACTCGACACTTCGCCAACGATGGCGTAACGACAATACCGCATCACACGAATATCTTGATGGCTGGAGGCGAGCCTAGCAGCGTGGCCCGACACAGTTCGGCAGCTTACAGGCCCTCTCACGGCAATGTTGGGAGACCACATTTCCACCCTTCCACGCCGTTGCCTTCCCACACTTCTCCCCTGGACGCCCAATTCCCCATGGAAGGGGAACGCAGTTTCTGCGCATTCGACGTCACTACGTGGCCCTCGCGCATATGGAATGAGGGCGCCTCCGGAGTCGTTATCGACCTCCGCTGCGCATACCAATGCTGGCAACAGGACAACGAGCAGGTTAAACTTGCCTTTGGCAATTTGGTCGAGTGGATCGGCGCGCTGGAAGGCCTGCAGGATCCCACTGATCGAATCATATGAGGAGGTCCCTACTGAATACATTCCGGATGCGGCTCACGATGGCATCCGATCCCGGCATCCGGCTTTCCAAACCGCGCGCCCGTCTACACACTGCTGTTCGCCAGACCGACACCTATGCGAGGGCGGCCGGCCTCGCGTCGATCGGCGAGAAACCCAACGCACTTTGCGATGCCAACTATGTCGTGCCTATGGACACGAGGCATCTACATGCAATGTGCGCCCCAGAGGGAATTACTCACAACACAGGCGCCCATCAAAAAACGGCAGAGGGGCTGCCCGCCGCTTATGAAAGCGGACGACGGCAGCCCCATCCAATCCGCCACCTCCCACCATTACGCACAGGCGTCGCACCGCGCCGCCGATGCTCCACCCGATCTTTCAAATTGCCCGACGAAATCGTCGAAAAGGGCAGTGGAGCTTATCCGCCAACGACGCTCGACTGTGGTACGACGAATCACCGACGTCTTCGCTTTGGGCCGGCTGCGTGAGGAGGGCGAACGAGGTGGCCCGAGAAATGTGGACGCCGTCAACGTG